GGGATCAAGAGAGACAGTTGCCTTTTGTGTCCATGAAGTCAATTGCCCTCTTGATACAAGAAGAACTGTTCCTCTGGTACATGAAGACACTACCTCTGGTACATGAAACCAGTGGCCTCTTGCACACAAAGACAGTACCTCTGGTACATTAAGTCATTGACCTCCGATACATGAAGACAGTACCTCTGGTACATGAAGACAGTACATCTGGTACATGAAGTCATTGGCCTGTGATACGTGAAGACAGTACCTCTGGTACATGAAGACACTCCTCTGGTACATGAAGACAGTGGCCTTTGGTACATGAAGTCAATGACCTCTGGTACAGGAAGACAGTACCTCTGGTACATGAGGTCAGTCCCTCTGCTACATGAAGACAGTACCTCTGGTACATGAAGACACTACCTCTGGTACATGAAGACAGTGGCCTCTGGTACATGAAGTCATTGACCTCTGGTACATGAAGACAGTACCTCTGGTACATAAAGTCATTGGCCTCTGGTACATGAAGACAGTACCTCTGGTACATGAAGACAGTGTCTACAATACATGAAGTCATTGGCCTCTGATACGTGAAGACAGTACCTCTAGTACATGAAGACACTACCTCTGGTACATGAAGACAGTGGCCTCTGGTACATGAAGTCATTGACCTCTGGTACATGAAGTCATTGACCTCTGGTACATGAAGACAGTACCTCTGGTACATGAAGTCATTGGCCTCTGGTACATGAAGACAGTACCTCTAGTACATGAAGACACTACCTTTGGTACATGAAGACAGTGGCCTCTGGTACATGAAGTCATTGACCTCTGGTACATGAAGACAGTACCTCTGGTACATGAAGTCATTGGCCTCTGGTACATGAAGACAGTACCTCTGGTACATGAAGACACTACCTCTGGTACATGAAGACAGTACCTCTGGTACATGAAGTCATTGACCTCTGGTACATGAAGACAGTACCTCTGGTACATGAAGACAGTGGCCTCTCGTACATGAAGACAGTGAAGTCATTGGACTCTGGTACATTAAGACAGTGAAGTCATTGGCCTTTGGTACATGAAGTCATTGACCTCTGGTACATGAAGACAGTACCTCTGGTACATAAAGTCATTGGCCTCTGGTACATGAAGACAGTACCTCTGGTACATGAAGACAGTGGCCTCTCGTACATGAAGTCATTGACCTCTGGTACATGAAGACAGTACCTCTGGTACATGAAGACATTGGCCTCTGGTACAGGAAGACACTACCTTTGGTACATGAAGACAGTGGCCTGTGGTACATGAAGTCATTGACCTCTGGTACATGAAGACAGTACCTCTGGTACATAAAGTCATTGGCCTCTGGTACATGAAGACAGTACCTCTGGTACATGAAGACAGTGGCCTCTCGTATATGAAGACAGTGAAGTCATTGGACTCTGGTACATTAAGACAGTGAAGTCATTGGCCTCTGGTACATGAAGACAGTGGCCTCTGGTACATGAAGACAGTACCTCTGGTACATGAAGACAGTGGCCTCTGGTACATGAAGACAGTACCTCTGGTACATGAAGACAATGGCCTCTGGTACATGAAGACAGTGGCCTCTGGTACATGAAGACAGTACCTCTGGTACATGAAGATAGTGGCCTCTGGTACATGAAGACAGTACCTCTGGTACATGAAGACAGTGGCCTCTGGTACATGAAGTCATTGACCTCTGGTACACGAAGACAGTACCTCTGGTACATAAGGTCATTGATCTCCGATACATGAAGACAGTACCTCTGGTACATGAAGACAGTACATCTGATACATGAAGACAGTGGCCTCTGGTACATGAAGTCATTGGCCTCTGATACGTGAAGACAGTACCTCTAGTACATGAAGACACTACCTCTGGTACATGAAGACAGTGGCCTCTGGTACATGAAGTCATTGGCCTCTGGTACATGAAGACAGTACCTCTGGTACATGAAGACAGTGGCCTTTGGTACATGAAGCCATTGGTCTCTGGTACATGAAGACAGTACCTCCGGTACATGAAGACAGTGGCCTCTGGTACATGAAGACAGTACCTCTGGTACATGAAGACAGTGTCCTCTGGTACATGAAGACAGTACCTCTGGTACATGAAGACAGTGGCCTCTGGTACATGAAGACAGTACTTCTGGTACATGAAGACAGTGGCCTTTGGTACATGAAGCCATTGGTCTCTGGTACATGAAGACAGTGGCCTCTGGTACATGAAGACAGTGGCCTCTGGTACATGAAGACAGTGACCTCTGGTACATGAAGTCATTGGCCTCTGGTACATGAAGACAGTACCTCTGGTACATGAAGACAGTGGCCTTTAGTACATGAAGCCATTGGTCTCTGGTACATGAAGACAGTACCTCCGGTACATGAAGACAGTGGCCTCTGGTACATGAAGTCATTGGCCTCTGGTACATGAAGCCATTGGTCTCTGGTACATGAAGACAGTGACCTCTGGTACATAAAGACAGTACCTCTGGTACATGAAGACAGTGGCCTTTGGTACATGAAGCCATTGGTCTCTGGTACATGAAGACAGTGGCCTCTGGTACATGAAGCCATTGGTCTCTGGTACATGAAGACAGTACCTCTGGTACATGAAGTCATTGGCCTCTGGTACATGAGGTCAGTGCCTTTAACTGCCTCAATAAACAGCTGCTGAACTTTGTCCTCCAGCGGCTGCTGAACGTTTCTCTTCACATTTCTCTGTGAACTCCATTCGACTGACTGATGGCGGAGAGGAAAGCAGCAGCGGAGGCGTCAGCAGACCCGGACTTCCTGCAGGCCAACGATCTGGCCTGTGAGGCGGTCGGTGGGAAGGTGAGTCAGCGAGACGGAAAGACATTCAGAGTCATTGTTTCACTCGGTGCACGAACTGATCGGTGACCTTAGCCATAAGTTTACTTTTTCTAATATTCAGTTTGTTGTTTGGAGCGAGTGATAGAGGCAATGCAGTTTTATCTTATATTAATAATATACACATCAAGAGATTGAATCCACGGGTGTCCACATGCATCGCAAACATGAATATACTTATATCTAAAAAGGACACCGATATGCATCTGTTCATGGCTATGCATCTATCAGCAGCATGTTCATTGTAGTGCTAGTTGGAACTTCATTTACACTTTGGTCATGGTGGAGCCAAAGAAAGACCAAAGAGCCTTCATCCGATGATGAGGAACTATTCCTTCAAACTATGGATTAGCGTAGGTAATGTTGGCCAACTGTCCATACATTAATTTCTTGGCTGTTATTGAAACAAAGTGCGTTGTGTTGTTGCTCTTCCAGGTTATTTTTGCTACAGACGAATGGTTCGCTCCTGCTGCCAACCTGCTGAAGGTACAACTCTGAAGTACCGGCTTCAGGTTTTACTCCAGCTGCAAATGTTAAAGCCACAGCAGTTTATTTGACAAGCTCCTCTTCATTAAAGGTTGTTCAGTTCTCCAGCATAAACAACAAAAATCAGTTGCAATCAAATCTTGCTCTCGGCACTCTGCCCGTCCCAAGTCCACCTGAACCCTTCACGATTGTTCCAGCGGACCTAACGGGTGCGACTGCTTTCAAGTTGCATTCATGTTGGGTCCTATTCTCAGCGGCGGATGAATCCACATCAGTAGTAGTTGGTGATTACTGGTGGAACGAGCTCTCTGAAGACATCAGGACCGCAGAGAGCCTTCACATCTTCCGCCGCCAACTAAAGACACACCTCTTCAGACTCTACCTCCACTAAAGACTAACAAACTGTAGCACTTAAATTGTACTTGTAACGTCACTCATCTATAGCAAATTGTAAACTGGCTTATTTGAGGAAATTGCACTTTCTTGTTTCTCATTCTCCTGAGTTTGTACCCTATGGTTGAATGCACTTATTGTACGTCGCTTTGGATAAAAGCGTCCGCTAAATGACATGTAATATAATGTAATGTGATTAGTTCTGTGAATACTCCCATGATGACCTTTAATGTTCCTCCAGAGAGAAACGCCGACCTTCAGCCCCTCGGCCTTCCACGAGTTTGGCAAGTTGATGGACGGATGGGAGACGAGGAGGAGGAGGACGGCGGGTTAGTACCCCACCAGTACTTCTGTAACGTGGAACAATACTGTATCCTCAGTCTAAAAAGTGCTACTAAGGCTGGACACATGCGTTAACGCATTCATTCATTACAGTTTCTTTTAGAGTCACAAAAGAATCATGAGATTAATTTCAGCTTATTTAGGAGTGAATCTGTCCCCAATGAACTGATATCAATCGTACTCTGAGTCTAAGGTCACCTCTTCTCTCACTCTCCCTGGAGGTCATGACTGGTGCATTGTCGAGCTGGGAGTACCAGGGCAGATCCAGGGCCTTGATGTGGACACGTCCTTCTTCACAGGAAACCACTCACCCGGCGTCTCTGTGCAGGCCAGCTGTCTGGGTACCAGCTCCTCAGATCCTCCTTAGTTCCTAAACTACCACAAAGCACCTAAACTTAACGGAACTGGAACGATAACGAACGCTACCGGAAACCTTCTCCAGAAGTTTAAATGTTGGGACCAAAGAAACGCCACAATCTTCTTTGACAATTTTTTGTGACTAATTGTATTGGTACGTGCACACAGAAGACAATGAGTTGTTGATTATGCACTTTAAAAGGTGCGCTATTAGAGACCTGATGATCCTTGTCTTGTGTTACACTGGGTGACATGGTGTGCGTCCACTAGGAAGCAAAGCACAGTGAATGAAGACATGGAAACAGAAGTAACAAGATGGTCAGCGATAGACGATTAAAGGAAGATGCAGAGCTAGTGTGTGAGTCTTTGATCGTGTATCTGATACATTGATCCGTTGTTCACCAGACAAACCTCCCTCCTTCAGCCTGGAGGGAGACCGGACTGGCATGGCCGCCTCCGACGCTCAGCTGGCTGCTGTCGCCGAGGTAAAAAGGATGAGTGTGACGAATCAACACAATGTATGACCCTCTGTGTTCCCCTCCAGAGTCACGTGATGCTCTACTTTCCCCTCTAGAGTTGCATGATGCTCTAGGGCCCTCTTTAAATTCATGTGATGCCCTCCACTCCAGTCACACAATGCTCTACAGGCCACTCTAGAGTCACACGATGCTCTACGGTTCACTCTAGAGTCACACGATGCTCTACAGGCCACTCTAGAGTCACACGATGCTCTACGGTCCACTCTAGAGTCACACGATGCTCTACAGGCCAATCTAGAGTCACACGATGCTCTACAGGCCAATCTAGAGTCACACGATGCTCTACGGTCCACTCTAGAGTCACACGATGCTCTACAGGCCAATCTAGAGTCACACGATGCTCTACAGCCCAATCTAGAGTCACACGATGCTCTACAGGCCAATCTAGAGTCACACGATGCTCTACGGTCCACTCTAGAGTCACACGATGCTCTACAGGCCAATCTAGAGTCACACAAGGCTCTACAGCCCAATCTAGAGTCACACGATGCTCTACAGCCCAATCTAGAGTCACACGATGCTCTACAGGCCAATCTAGAGTCACACGATGCTCTACAGGCCAATCTAGAGTCACATGATGCTCTCCCACACGATGCTCTACGGTCCACTCTAGAGTCACAAGATGCTCTACAGGCCAATCTAGAGTCACACGATGCTCTACAGGCCAAACTAGAGTCACACGATGCTCTACAGCCCAATCTAGAGTCACACGATGCTCTACAGGGCAATCTAGAGTCACACGATGCTCTCCCACACGATGCTCTACGGTCCACTCTAGAGTCACAAGATGCTCTACAGGTCACTCTAGAGTCACACGATGCTCTACAGGCCAATCTAGAGTCACACGATGCTCTACGGTCCACTCTGGAGTCACACGATGCTCTACTTTCCCTTCTGGAGTCAGTTTTAGACGTTTTGTCAATTATTCCATTGACAGCTGATGCGTGGTTTGGTTGACAGCTGCGCTCGGAGGCGTGGCCTGAGCTGGTATGTGTGTCGGAGCTGAAGCCTGGATACTCAGACTCCTGCCATAACTACTTCAAGGTCAACTTCAAGCACAGAGTCACACACCTGCGCCTGAACATGCACCCAGGTACGACACACGCTCACAATTAACCGATGCTAACAAAAATAATAATGATAAGAATAAAACTGCAGTGTCTGTACCTCGTCAGATGGAGGGATAGCCAGATTGCGGGCGTACGGTGTTGGGCAGAGAGACTGGTCCTCTGTCTCCACCCAGCAGGAGGTTGACCTGGTGGCCATGACCAATGGAGGGGTTTGCCTTGGTTACAGCGACGCCCACTTTGGTCATCCACGCAACATGATTGGTTTGAATCAACATAAATAACTTTCCTTTTTAGTTTGCTGTTGGTAACACTTGATGTTTTCTTTTTCATTCATGATATTATGGGATTTGGTCACTGAGTTTCACGTGTTGTGTGTGGAAGTACTGGTAACACTGATGAAATTGGTAATACTTGTTGTACTAGGAAACTAGGAAAATGGTAATAAAACTGGTGTGAATAGAGACACTGGTGTACTGGTTAAACTGGCCTGCTGCGTTTCAGGTCTTGGCCGCGCTGCCAACATGGCCGACGGCTGGGAGACGGCCCGCAGACTTGATCGCCCCAAATACCTGAAGGTTTAAACACAGCGAACAAATAACATGAACACCGATAACCATCACATGAATCATGAATGGATGAACTCTCTGTATCAAATGTCCTCACTGTCCATCATCCCTTTCAACCTCAACATCACCTCCAGTTACAGAACGCTCCCACTTTAGAAGTCTGATAACTTCCCTGAAGTTTCGTTAGTTTAAAAATGTCTCCCTGACTGCAGGTGGACCAGAGAGGGATCCTGCAGGTCCCCGGATGGGAGTGGACCGTGTTCCGCCTCGGCACACCGGGACTCATCAGGAGGGTCGAGATTGACACCAACCACTTCAGAGGTCGCCCCACACACACACACACACACACACACACACACACACTCACACACACTCACACGCTCACCTGTGTGTGTCCACCAGGTAACTTCCCGGACTCCTGCAGGATTGATGTTTGTTCTTTGACCCCTGAGGAGGAAGCTCAGTGCGTCGGCACCAAGTGGAGCTCAGTGGCATGGGGGGTCCTTCTACCCCCTCAAAAGGTAAGCGTGTGCGTTTGTGTGCGTGTGTGTGTGTGAGTGTGCGTGTGTGTGCGCGTGATCTCACACAAATAACACACACACACACTACTACACAGTAACTTAAATAACACACACACACACACACATGATTACGTGATGAAGGTGTGTCATTAAGCTCCTCCCCCCTCTGCAGCTCCGTCCTCACCACAGACATCTGTATGGAGAGGCCCAGCTCGCCCCCACCCACCCCGTCACCCACGTCCGTCTCACCATCAGCCCTGACGGAGGGGTCAGCCGGCTCCGGCTCTGGGGTCGACCCACGGCCCCCACCGCTGCTCCGCTAGCCAATCAGGAGCGGCCGGCCTCCAAGCTGTGACGCCGCCAACACACAGCGAGGATTTAACAAATAAAACACAAAAGTACAGTCTGATGGTCGTTATTACTAGCGATGATTATCTCATCTCGTCTCATCTTATATTATCTCATCTCATCACATTGAGATTTGGGGCCAACCCTTCGGCGCCATACTGCGCGGTCGTCAGGGCGAGTCTCGCGACGCGCCCATTTAGCGACGTGACAATGGCGAGCAGAGCCCCTCCGACATACCAAACGCCACCTTGGTACCTTCTCTCCTCCAAGAGCCGTTTGGCAGAAGAACGTTCGCGGTGAAACAGCTGCACCATTTCTATATGTATATATATATATAAGCAAACATTAATAGGACTACAGTTCCATCTCATGAAGGGAGAACTTTTTCTCCGGGAATTATTATTCTCAAGTCAATCTTGAAATTTAACCCTCGCATCATTATTATTATTATTACTCTGGATATTTAGATGACGATCAGTTTCTTTATTTCTTACAACTTTTATTAATTTACATATCATGCCTGAACCTCAGGGGACTCAAAGATGTGGAAACACTGTTTGCCGAGTTGAGAACCCGGTTGCCGTGGCGACGTGAGGTCCTGGAACCAGGAGGTCGGCGGGCGATCGGGGATGGTGAGGCAGATGACATTCAGCTTTGTGCAGAGAAAACTCAGTTGGTCAATTGGACAAAGGCTAACAGACGCTAATGTGCTAACAAATATTAATGCTGAATGTTGTACTTTGCTCCTCTAAAGAACACATGATGATCTGGGGACAAACATTAAGACCTGGACCCCGAACTCCATTTTCAACGTTGGTGCGCAGACCGGAGACCATATTCCACCATGTTGCTCTTTGGTCTATTTCAAATGAACAACAGCCTTCAGGTTGAAAACTGCACTAAACACAGACCATCCCATGATAACAACCAGGAACTACAGACACAAAACAAGTAGCGTGTTACATCACATCACATTACATCACATCACATCACATTACATCACATTACATTACATTACAGCACATTACATTACATTACATTACATCACATCACATCACATCACATTACATCACATTACATCACATCACATCACATCACATCACATTACATCACATCCCATCACATTACATTACATCACATCACATCACATCACATTACATTACATCACATCACATTACATCACATTACATTTCATCACATTACATCACATCACATCACATCACATTACATTACATTACATCACATTACATCACATCACATTACATTGAGCTTGAACACAAGATATTAGAAATAAGTGATAAAACCACGAATGCATTCAATGATTGAGGAAGATAAAGGTGGAAATGGCTCATTTCGGCCCGTCGTGTTCGCTCAGCTGTCCGGTGGGTTTTCTTTCTCTTTCTCTTTCTCATGCAAATGTCTCCTCATTGAGCTGCAGCTGCTTCATCACTGCTCCTCACGGAACCACCTCTTTTGTTTGTCAGCAGCCCGCCGGCCCCTGTAATCGGGTTAAAGGACCCAGGACCTCTGTGCCGCCCCCCATCCGGTTGATATCTGCCTGCTCTCTTTTGTTTTTACCTGGTTTTAGTTTTCCCCTTTCTGCGATTGATGAAAAACGTTTGGGTTAAAACAACCACTGAACTAATGACACAGCAGGAGGAAACATCTCTGTTAGTTGAACATTTTGTAATTTGTATTTCTTCATTCCTTGAAATATTTTCAATGTATAGAAACATATTCCTATTAATTCAGATGATTTAACTGGTTTGGAGACTAATGGTTTGGAGACAAGTTGTGCCTTTGAAAACACAAGATGAATAAAGAGTTCTAACTATTCTCTTTGACAAACTGCGTGAAATGCTATTGTGGTGAATTAGCATATCAACAGAAATATACAGAGCCTTGCAAAAGTATTGACCCCCCTTGGCGTTTTTCCTATTTTGTTGCCTTACAACGCTGAATTAAAATTTTGATTTGGATTTCATGTAACGGACATGAAAAAAATAACTTGTTTAAAAAATAAATAACGGAAAAGTGGTGCGTGCATATGTATTCACCCCCTTTCCTATTAAGCCTCTAAATAAGATCTGGTGCAACCAATTACCAATATATATATATATATATATATATATATATATATATATATATATATATACACATACATATATGAGACCAAAGGTGACCCTGAAGGAGCTGCAAAGCTCCAGCGGAGATTGGAGTTCCTGTCCGTAGGACGACCTTAAGCCGAACGCTCCACAGATCTGGGCTTTACGGAAGAGTCTCCAGAAAAGGCCGTTGCTTAAAGAAGAAAATCAACAAACGTTTGGTGATACCAAAAGGCATGTGGGAGACTCCCCAGACGCATGGAAGAAGGTTCTCTGGTCAGATGAGACTGAAGTCGAGCTTTTTGGCCATCAAGGAAAACGCCCTTTCTGGCACAAAGCATCCAACTTGAAGGAGCTGGAGCAGTTTTGCCTTGAAGAACGACTAAATGTGTGAAGCTCATAGATACATAAGAGAAAGGAGACTTTGGGGGGGGGAATAGTTATGCACGCTCAAGTATTGGGTTTGTTTCACAATAAAACATATTCATGCATCTTCAAAGTGGTGGGCATGTTGTGTAAATCAAATGATACAAACCCACAAAAAATCCATTTTAGTTCCAGGTTGTAAGGCAATAGAAAGACGCCATTGGGGGGTCAAAGGCTCTGTAAACCCCACACAGGGGGGCGGCATTTCTTCAAAACCAGCTGACTGATAGCTAGCTAGCATTAGCTGACTAGCTTTAGCATGTCAACTACAGCGTTCTACCAGCTAGAAGTCCCTCCAAAGACATCACTGCAACGCAATGGATACTTATAACAGTTATTTAAACCTTCATCTACAGACTCACATCTATTAAACGTCACTTTTTGTTCCTTGTTTTTATTGAACAGCCACACAAAGCCCCCCTCCGTTATAAATTATAATATCACATTGACCTTTGACTCCGAGCAGTATGGAACCCAACACACAAACACACAATCACACACACGCACACTCAGAGTTGTGTTTCTCTTTAGGGAATATCAAATTAAATTCACTCACAATCCTTTCACAAGGACTTATTACAACCTAAAATGACGTTGTGGGGACCTTGAGTGAAGACGGTCCCCACAACGTCACCGTTCAAACACACTCCCAGTTGAGTGTTTTAAACGATTCTGTCACACCTGTATGTCAAGTTGCGTTTTTGTCCTGTCTCCAGTTGTTTTTTGACTTCCTGTTTTATTTTGGAAACTAACTCCCTCTCGTTTCAGGTCCCTTGCCCTTCCTCATGTGTCACCAGTCTGATTGTCTCCCCTGATTCCTGATTGTGTCCACCTGTTCCCACAACTCCCTCATGGGTACTTATAGTCTGCGTCGCCCCTTGTCCTGTGCCAGTGTGTCTTGTTGTTTTGCCCTGCACACCAGCCCTCACGTCACGAGTCAAGTCAAGTCCGATAACGTTTGTCACGTCCTTTTGATCCCTGTTACATTTCCTCGTTTAAGAGAGATTTTGAGTTTTTGCCTTTTGAATTTTGATCTCAACCTTTTTTCCTCATTTAGAGAGATTTTGAGTTTTTTCCTTTTGAACTTTGATCGCGACCTTTGTTTCCTCGTTAAGAGAGATTTTCAGTTTTTTCTTGTTATTAATAAAAAGCAATATCAGCTGAACCCTCTGCGTCCGAGTCCTCCTCCTTCCTGCCTGACAGATTCAGTCTGAAGACAAAATAAGAAACTTCATGAAGTTGTGTGGAAAGCATTTCAACAGTAAATTAAATTATGCCAAAGAATAAAATGAATGCACCTTATTTAAATATTTGTGCAGTATATTTATGTATAATTTCCCTTGTATGGTTAATATTCTATTCAATATTTGAATTATTGGAATCCTCAACAAGAATAAACAGAAGAAAGAAGGAAATTCTGTAATTCTGATTCTAAAATTAAAAATAAAGATTAAATTTCTACTTTTGTACTTGGTTTATTCTGAGGATGAGGAGGACGAGGAAGTTTCGTAGCACAATAGACTCACACACATGCAGTGTGTTAGTGTTACATATCCTCACTGGACTCACCTCTGGTGGGGGCTCGTCCGCCTACAGGTGGAAGACGGACCACCTGGTGACCCGGGGAACAACTTACATCACACAGCACAGGAAGGGCTCCACAGTCCTTCCTGGCCTCCACCATCACCC